CTACTACTTTAACACCTGGTGCCATTCTTCCGACCAACATTCTTATACATATGTATGTAATGAATTTAGTTATCATTTCTTGCTAATCTTTCTCCTACCTATTTAATTATTAGACCAGCAAAAAGAACTTTGAAGAAAGAGGAAATTTTGTTCCTCCCACACAGTGCATTGAGGTTTATATAATACTAGAGGCCCGGTGCACAAAATTCATTCAGGGGAGGGGGGTGGTGGTGGTGGTGGTGGTGTCTCTTAGCCCAGCCTGCACCCTCTCCAATCTGGGACCCCTAGAGAGATGTCTGACTGCGCTTAGGCCTGATCCCACCAGGATCGGGTCTAAATGGGCAGTCGAACATCCCTCTCACAATCCAGGACTGCTGGCTCCCAACTGTTCGCCTGCCTGCCTTCCTGATTGCCCCTAATCACTTCTGCCTGCCAGCCTGATCACCCCCTAACCACTGCCCTGCCAGCCTGATTGATGTCTAACTGCTCCCCTGTCAGCCTGTTTGCCCCTAACTTCCCTCCTCTGCTGGCCTGGTCACTCCTAACTGCCCTCCCCTGCAGGGTTGATAGCCTCCTACTGCCCTCCCTTGCAGGCCTGGTGCTTCCCTGCTGGCCATCTTGTGGTGGCCATCTTGTGTCCACATGGGGCCAGCCATCTTTGATCACATGTGGGCAGCTATTGTGTGTTGGAGTGATGGGCAATAGGACTAGTGGCTTGGTGCACAAAATGTGTGCACAGGGAGGTGTCCCTTAGCCTGGCCTGCACCCTCTCCAATCCGGAACCCCTCTTGCAATCCGGGACCACTAGCTGCTAACTGCTCACCTGCCTTCCTGCCTGATGGCCCTTAACCACTCTGCCTGCTTGTCTGCTGGCCCCGACTGGCCTGCTCACCCTAACTGCCCCCCCTGCCAGCCTGATCACCCCCAACTGCCCTCCCCTCCTGGCCTGATCACCCCTAACTGCCTCTGCCTCGGTCCCGCCACCATGGCTTTGTCCTGAAGGACTCCAGAAGGTCTCCTGGTCTAATTAGCATATTACCCTTTTATTAGTATAGATAGGCTCCAGCCATTTCAAAGAGATATTGTAAAAATCAGTTACTAAATCTTCCTATCTTTCTAATTCCTCAAATTCTCTTCCCCTTTCTTACTGTGTATGAAAAAGCGGCCACATACTAAATCTGACAAGCTTAGAGGAGGCCTGCCTTGCAGAGACCTATGATGGTCTGAACATAAAAATTCCTAACTAAGAGCAGTCGTGGCAGGTAGTCACGTCCTGGGTGGATATCTCCCTTGACAAAGGCCAATCTTTAACTGAGCTGTGTATTGTGTTTTTTGCATCTGTGATAACATTCCTTTGAAATGTCAGTGATCTCCTTTTCAAACCCCTCAGGGCTCAAGCTCCTGTCAGAACACGAGACCACAGAAACCCTCGCTGTTATCTTATTCTCCCTCATACCATCTTTCTGTGCTGTAAATGTTAATTGTTAAGTACCCTGTGTCCACCAATGTAAAGGAAATATGTATCTATTCATTTTCCTTTTTATCCAATCTCAGAGACCCCCACACATCTTTGATTCTGATGTGTAAAATACATGGTAAAACTGCCATTTGCTGGAAAAATCTGTTGAGATTTTGCTTCCAAGCAATTGTAGTCAGTTTGGATCAAATAAACTCATAAAAATTCTTACAGGTTTGGACATTTCTTATGTTGACACTACTAAATGTTTTTCTCCATTTTTTCCTTTAACTCTTAGTTCCTCTTTTAATTTTCATCCAGCAATGACCTAAATCTGGCTTCCTATAGGGTAAGCCTTCTTTAACACACTTACCATCTGTTCTCCTTCTGGCTCTGAAGCAGATTTTATCCTGCAGTAATTTTTATTACACTAATCTCTGTACAGTTTACAAAGTGCTTTTCAGTTTACATTTCATAATTAGTACTTATTTCACTATTACAAGTCTTACATTTCATAATTAGTCCTTATTTTACTATTATGGAAGAAATGGACCTTTTAAGCAAATATCTAAATGTTATAAAAATACTATGTAAACTGGCCCAGATCCTTTCAAATATGAAATTACATTTCATTTAGTAATTACCTTTCACGTGAGGGATCATTATACAATTTACTCAAGGACATTTTTATATACAATTTTGAAGACCTGTCTTAATGTCTGTGAAATATTTCCAATATTGTAACTCTTATCTTTTGTTACTACGTATTCCACAACTCCACCCCTGACTACTGACTTTTTGTCATCTCAATGCACATTCAGTTACCTAAAACCTCAGAACTCACTCACTTGCTCACTACCTCATGTCCAAAGGACCCTGACTACCATTCCCTTCTGGCATAGCAGAGGGTCAAGGCATAGCAGAGGGTCAAAGCATGGTAAATTTTGGAAATGTAAAGAAATGTAGAATTAGGGACAATAAGGTAAACTGCATGCTAGCACGCATTTCACTAGGCAAATTCAAGCATTGAGGAGATACCATTAAAGTCCCTTTTATTCTATTGAGTCCTAAAAAGCAAGAGAAAGCCTTATTAAGCTTCTGTGAGTAAAGGTTTCCAACAACAGAATCAAGTGTCAATTTTCAAATTTAAAAATTTTTATAATACAATAATAGAAAGGTTTTTTATTTTTTTATTGGATTTATTGGGGTGACATTGGTTAATAAATTTATATAGGATTCAAGTGTACAATTCTATGGTACATCATCTGTATATTGTATTGTATGTTCACCACCCAAGGTCAAGTCTCCTTTCTTCACCATTTATCCTATCTTTGCCCTCTTCTAGTACCTTGTTTCAAATTTAAATTTAAACCAAATAAAATTGGGGACAAAAATGTCCAAAAAGTGGTCTGGCCGGTGGGGTTCAGTTGGTTGGGCTTCCTCCCATGCACCAAAGGGTCACCAGTTCGATTCCAGTTCAGGGCACATTCCCAGGTTTCCCGCTTAATCCCCGGTAGGGCACATGTGCAGGAAAAAACTGCTCCATGTATCCTTATCACATCAATGTTTCTTTCCCTCTCCCTTCCTCTCTCTTTATTTTTTGTTATTAATATTTTTAATATATATGTATTTATTTCAGAGAGGGAAGGAGAGGAAGAGAAAGATAAAAACATCAATGATGAGAGAGAATCATTGATCGGCTGCTCCCATACACCCTCACATTGGGAATAGAGCCCGAAACCAGGGCATATGCCCTGACTGGAATTAAACAGTGACCTCCTGGTTCATAAGTTAACACTAAACCATTGAGCCATGCTGGCCGGGCCCTTCCATTACTTTTTTTAAATATATACTTTTAAAAATATATATATATATTTTTATTTATTTATTTTTTTTACAGAAAGGAAGGGAGAAGGATAGAGAGTTAGAAACATCAATAAGAGAGAAACATCCATCAGCTGCTTCCTGCACACCTCCTACCGGGGATGTGCCGGCAACCAAGGTACATGCCCTTGACCGGAATCGAACCTGGGACCTTTTAGTCCACAGGCTGATGCTCTATCGTATCCACTGAACCAAACCGGTCAGGGCAAAAAATATACTTTAATGATTACAGAGAGGAATAGAGAGATAGAAACATCAGTGGTAGAGATCCAGCCTGAAACCTTGGCATGTGCCCTTGACTGGAATCACACCTGGGAACTTTCAGGCTGCAGGCTGATGCTCTATCCACTGAGCCAAACTGGCAAAGGCTTCCAATGCTTTTTTAATCCAAAAAATGTTATATCTCCAACTCCTTATTGATGACCAAAATTCCTATAACATAGAATAAAGTCTACATTCCACATTCAGAAGTTGTTGGGGAAGGGAACATTCTCCCCCTTCCCATATTGGTTCTTATGGTTAGTTGAATAATTAAAATGACAGGATAAAAACATGTTTTAATATATATACACAGGAAATTCACATAAGCATGAAAATTCTCAAACAGTAAGGCAGAATAAGGTGTGTGTGTCATTCTGGATTAAGGAGAAGGAGATAACAGTCTGGGACTTGAAAGTGAAATAAGGCAATTCACAGTGAGTTGGAAAGAGTTAATGTTTAGTAAACAAATGTTTGCTGGGCCATCTAGAGACAATGGGTCAGTGAGAGGACTTTGGTCCAAGGGGCCTGCTGGGTTCCTCCCTACCTACCATCCCAGTTCATGTTGTACTGTGGTCATCTATGTGGCAGTTCTGGGACAGGCCTTCTATCTCCAGTGCTTTTTAGATATTTGGGAAAAGGTCAGTGACTCTTCCTGAGTCTTCTGTTGAGTTTTCTTCTTTTCACTGGGAAATGTATGTTCTGGATGATTTCTATACTTTCTAATAATCTCCTCCAATTTACTTTATTTTATTATTTGATAGGATATAGGGAAATCATACAAGCCCAGTAAATATTTTCTTACCCTGCTGGGAACCTCTGCCTTTCATGCCAGTAATCAGAATGGGAGCTTTCCCAGGGCACACAATGAGTGCTTAAAAGGTAGAATTTCATGTAACAAATGAGACCATATTCCACTTAGTGTATAATATGAATGCAGTGACTAGCCAGCCATGCAGGATTTTAAAGAACTTCTTATTTTCAAAGATCAGTTCCTGTTGTTGCATAATTACATCCCAGCGTTTGGTTTGGAAACTATGGTCACAGTTCAGTGGAAGATATACCTTACACTCTTTTCCTTGAAAGGATTCTGGCACATTGATCCCGCTAGTGGAGCATGGTTTGTTCTCTTCTAAGAGGTCTCAGGGCTCCAGAAAAATCTCCCCCTGTTGTTACCCTTCAGGGAGAGATTTACAGGTCATCCTACTAACACCAACAAATTTCTATTAATCTCAAAAGAAACAGATGTTTTCAGCTTTAGTTTTAGTTGAGAAATTGGTGTATTAAGAATTCTTTTAGGTGCTCCTTCTCCAACTGCAATATGCATAGAGAGAAAGCATAGCCTTCAAGCTCTGCTCTACAAGGAGTTAACATCTTAAGAGCTAAACAGAACTGTATTAACTCCTCTCTTAATAAGCCAGGCAGACAAGAGGATTCTAGAGGACACCACCAAAGTCCGAGAAAAGAATTAGAGCAGACTCTCTGGAGGAAGCAGAAACTGTAAGTTTATCTCTAATACATATTTATGATCTCCTATTTCTTTCCATGGGGTGTTTTTGAGAACAGTGAAATAATTTATTCTTTTTTTATTTTTATTTTTTATTGTACCACCAATCTCCCAGGCATTAGGCACAGCATCATTAGGTCACCTTTAATCCTGTCGCCCTCTTTATTCCATCCTACATCCAACTAATTGTCAAGTCTTTTGTTTCTCCTTCCTTGGGGTCTTTGTGATTCATCCCACTCAGCCACCCTTACCCCACCCCACTACTCCTGCTATTTCAAAGCTTCTTGCCAGAACCATGGCAATATCTATCCTCTTAACACTCCTCCTCTCTGCCAGTCTTTTTAATTAACAGCAGATGAACCTTCCTAAAGCTCTTTTACTGCTCTTACTTGAATGCTCTTTTGCTCAGAATATATAAATTGCTGGCCATGTTGACAGAATGAATAGAACACCTCTATTTTAAATGCAAGGTCTTCCAAAATATGCACTTAAATTCTCACAACTCTTTCTTAAACTCGTCATGGCTCCCTGCTATTGTGCAAGACCATTCTGCTCTTTGCCCAGCTCTGACTCTATTCAAACTGTCCTCTGTATGGAACCTGCCAAAACCCCTCCTAGACTCCAACAACCCTCTCTCCATAATGCTTTATCTGAGCCGTCAAGTGAATGTAAGTCTCAGTCTTTCTTTCCTCTCTCTCTTTGTTTTGTTTTTCTCTGATTGACTGTATATATTTTACCTCACAGTTAAATACGTGTTTTTCTCACTGCCCCTCCCCCCCCCCCTTTTTTTTTTTTATAAATCCTCACCTAAGGATATTTCCCCCCCATTAATTTCTAGAAACAGTGGAAGGGAGAGAGGAGGAAGAGAGAGACCCACATCATTGGTCTCTCACACACATCCCTACTGGGGCTGGGGGACCTGCAACAAAGGTACATGCTCTTGACTAGGAATCATATTAGCGACCCTTCAGTATGCAGGTCAATGCTCTAACCACCAAGACAAACCGGCCAGGGCTCATTTTTCCTCCTAATTATTCACTTCCTGAGAGCAAGGGCTCTATTTGTCTTTTAGTAGCAACTGAACAAAATGGACACACAATAGTATTTGTCAAATTAAGTTCAATCCAAATTCCAGGAGCTCCTACCATCCTTTACGAGCATTCGTACAATTCAATTATGGAAGCTACATTTTCCTTCACAATCTTTCTTCAGCTCTGTTCCAAGTATCTTTCTCAGTGCTTGCTTCTCATTTGCCTCTGTCCTCTTACATAAAATCAGCTCCTCCTAGGTTCCCTAACTCACTGAAAACTATTCTCTTCAAGGATCTCTTCATAATTTGTCACCTCCTCCCCCAAACCTTCAACTCAACTGCATAGAGACTTGAATATTTATTGGAACTGTTAAAGTTAATTCCTTAGACAGGAAATCTTAAATCTCTAATCTACATTAAATTGAAATGTTAAAACACTTCTCCTACTTATATTGCCTACTTATCCCTTGAATTTTTAAAGGATAGGAATATATATATATATATATTTATATATATTTTATTAATTTTTCACAGAGAGGAAGAGAGAGGGATAGAGAGTCAGAAACATCGATGAGAGAGAATCATCAATCAGCTGCCTCTTGCACAGCCCCCACTGGGGACATGCCCGCAGTGCTCTTGCCCGGAATCGAACCCAGGACCTTTCAGTTCGCAGGCCGACGCTCTAAGGATAGGAATATTTTTGCAGCATTATTTCCTATACCTATTAAAATGTTACTGCCCTAGCTGGTTTGGCTCAGTGGATAGAGCATGAGCCTGCAAACTGAAGGGTTCCAGGTTAGGGCTCGGTCCCCAGTGGGGGGGCATGCAGGAGACAGCCAAGCAATGATTCTCTCTCATCATTGACGTTTTTATCTCTCTCCTTCTCCCTTCCTCTCTGAAATCAATAAAAATGTATTTTTAAAAAATGCTACTGATATTCCTTTGACATTCCCTTAAGCAGATTTGTCACCTGCTTTTTGAAATTTTTTTCCTCCTTCTCTCTCCTACTCAGATCTGTGATACCTTTATGGCTCTCATCTCACTGGGTTCTCAAAAGGTAAGGGGGTTAAAATGTTGTAAAAATCACTAAAACCAATTATAAAAAGAAAAACAGTGATTGTCACAATACAATGTTGTAATACCACACCTGCTGAAAAATTATTATATGTCTGCAGACAGCAGGTACTGTGTTAGGCAATATACATACAAAGATATTCTCCAAAGAGTTTATAGCCTTGTCGAGCCAGCATGGCTCAGTGTTCAATTCCAGTCAGGGTACATGCCCAGGTTTTGGGCTTGGTCACCAGTGTGGGGCACGTAGAAGGCAGCTGATCAATAATTCTCTCTCAACATTTTTAAAAATATATTTTTTATTATTTATTTATTTATTTATTTTGAGGAAGGAAGAGGGATAGAGAATTAGAAACATCGATGAGAGAGAAACATCAATCAGCTGCCTCCTGCACACTGCCCACTGGGGATGTGCCCACAACCAAGGTACATGCCCTTAACTGGAATCCAACCTGGGCTCTTTCAGTCTGCAGGCCAATGCTCTATCCACTGAACCAAACCAATCAGGGCTCTCTTTCATCATTCATGTTTCTGTCTCTCTCCCTCTCCCTTCCTCTCTGATACAAATAAATAAAATAATTATTATATATATCATGACTTCCTGGTTCATAGGTTGATGCTCAACCACTGAGCCATTCCAACTGGGTGGGAATTCTTTAAAAAAAAAATTAATTTGAAAGAGAGAGAAACATCAATTTGTTGTTCCACTTACAGATGTATTCATTGGTTGATTCCTATTCATGTGTCCTAACTGGGGATTGAACCCAAAACTTTGATGTATGGGGATAACACTCCAACCAACTATGCTATCTGTCCAGGACTGCAAGGGAATTCTTTTAATCTTTCATTCCACTGAGTTTAAATGATAAATAAAGCCTCCTTCCTTATATTTTCTCCTTTTTCCCTGAGAGATTAAATCTGGCCATTTCATTGGATTTAGGATGTTTCTTCCTCACTCCTTCACTGTCAGTCTCTCCTGGGTTTTCTTTTCTGACATTCTTTATAAACTCCATTTCATTTTTAGAGCTTCTTTGATTTCAGTGTAACTGCTACTGTTCAGTTGCTCCACAGCTTTGGTGGTGTATTTTTAAATGGTCATAACCAAAGCCATCTTCTCTGGGCCCAGCCATTAAAGAACTACAGCATTTCTTCTTCCACTACAGCTCCATTTTAAATATATATATATATATATATATATATATATATATATATATATATATATATTATTGATTTTTTTTACAGAGAGGAAGGGAGAGGGATAGAGAGCCAGAAACATCAATGAGAGAAAAACATTGATCAGCTGCCTCCTGCACACCCTCTACTGGGGATGTGCCCGAGACCAAGGTACATGCCCTTGACCAGAATGGAACCTGGGACACTTCAGTCCATAGGCCGATGCTCTATCCACTGAGCCAAACCAGTTAGGGCTACTGCTCCGTTTTTTTGCAAATGGCTTTTGATCCAGAGGGCCAGGCCTGTGATGCAGTTACCTCTTCTTTCTCTTTCATATTACTTCTCCACAGAAGGAGGCTGGGAAGACAGGGTAATTTAGCAAAACCACAAACGCGATCTTAAATGTGAGATACCTTTTAAAACAAAATTGTTTCTTTGGTTGCTTCAATTCTGTTTTAATCCTAGGATTGTTGACTAACATTTGAAAGCACATAAACTTTTGGGTGATTGCTCAGCTTCCTTAAAATAAGAAATCGGTATAGACCCATTTAAAATTATGTAACTGGGAAGAGGTTCTCCGCTTACTGTGGTTTTAAAAAATGAAACATTGCAGAACAGAATGTGAATGACACAATTCAAGTTAAATTGTCTTATAAATAAAATGTTAATGTTGACCTGGCTAGTTCAGCTCAGTGGATAGAGCGTTGGCCTGTGGACTGAATGGTCCCAGGTTCGATTCCAGTCAAGGGCACATGCCTTGGTTGAGGGCTCAATTCCCATTAGGGGGCATGCAGGAGACAGGCAGTCAATGATTCTCATAGTTGATGTTTCTATCTCTCGCTTCCTCTCTGAAATCAATATATATATATATATATATATATATATATATATATATATATAATTGATTTTGTACAGACAGAAAGGGAGAGAGATAGAGAGTTAGAAACATCGATGAGAGAGAGTCATCGATCAGCTGCCTCTTGCACACCCCCTACTGGGGATATGCCCGCAACCAAGGTACATGCCCTTCACCGGAATCAAACCTGGGACCCTTCAGTCCCCAAGCCGACGCTCTATCCATTGAGCTAAACTGGCTTCAGCATATTATTTATTTATTTTTTTTAAAGGCTATGATAGCCCTAGCCAGTTTGGTTCAGTGGATAGAGCAGATTCTGGTCAAGGGCATATACCTTGGTTGCAGGCACATAACCAGTAGGAAGTATGTAGGAGGCAGCTGATCAATGTTTCTGACTCTCTATTCCTCCCTGAAAAAAAAATAAAATAAAATAAAATATATATATATATATATATATATATATATATATATATATATGTGTGTGTGTGTGTGTGTGTGTGTGTGATTTTTTTACAGAGAGGAAAAGGAGAGGGAGAGAGAGATAGAAACATCAATGATGATGAGAGAGGATCACTGATTGGCTGCCTACAGCAATCCCTTACTGAGGATAGAGTCCACAACCTGGGCATGCGCCCCTGACCAGAATCGAACCTGAGCCCCTTGAGTTTGCAGGCCAACGCTCTACCCACTGAGCCAAACTGGTTAGAGCAAAAATATATTTTATTGATTTTTGGCCCTATCCACTGAGCCAAACTGGTTAGAGCAAAAATATTTATTTTTTAAACAGGCTCTGATGTGTAAAATACTATCATGAAAGTGTAGAGAAATTCCTGCTACAACTTAAGACTTAAGTGCAACCTACAGAAGCATGTAATTTGCTGGGCTTTTGTTTTTTAATTTCAGTGTCCTCTGGAATCACTTACAGCTTGAGAACTGATATGACATCACACCTCCTGGTGGAAAATACATTAAAGAACTTGTCAGGGACATAGATTTGATATCTCCAATGATACCAGCATCAAAAGGTAAATACAATGCCTGAGGATGGATGCTTTTTACTTATTACTTACTTATTTTAATCCTCATCTGAGAATATATTTTGTATTGATTTTAGATAGAGAGGCATGAGTGGGGGAGAGAGAATGAGAGGGGGGGGTGAGAGAGAAGCATTGTCACCTACCTGGTATGGCTAATAATTGAGTGTCAACCCATGAACCAGGAGTCACAGTTCGATTCCCAGTCATGGCACATGCTTGGGTTTTGGGCTTGATCTCCAGTTGAGGGTGTGCAGGAGGCAGCTGATTGATGATTTTCTCTCATTATTGATGTTTCTATCTTTCTTTCCTGCTGTACTTGTCATCATTTCCAAAGGACAGATTAGAGAGGTGATGATAGTGGAGGCTAAAGTGGTTCTGAGACTAAAGGTCTGAGCTCTCTTTCTTCCAGAGAAGGAGCTGTATTTTGAGCTCTGTGCTTTTAGAATAATTCCCTTAAGATCAGAGCCATCCCTGGGCCAGTGAACACTCACACACTGAAGAGCATGCTCTAGTTTCCTCTGATTAGACCCAGCAGAAGCTCTGTTCAGAGGCAGTTTGGGGCAGTTTTTCCAGACCACAAAAACAAATGAGAGGATGCTTGGTAATTAAGAAAGGTTTCTATCCTTTTCCTTATGAGAGATTTAAAGATGGTTGTGGCCACAATCCTTGTCTAGGTCCAAATTATCTAATAAGGAGAAAAAAATAGAATAATAAATGGAAAATTAAGTAGTTTAACAGCCCTATCTCATATTTCTTAAGAGAATGTACTTTCTAGACAGTAAGTTGAGTCATACCTCATGCTCGAATGATATGGAATGATATTCCTTACTCAGGAGTGACATGGAATAATAAAGAGATCCATTAGTATACATTTCATAAACTTCATTTCCTCTAAAGTACTTCACATAAGATAGATTTAAGCCCTCCGGACAGAATGTGATGAAAGACCTGATGGGTTTTTTAAATGGCTTGTAAAAATAATCTCCATTTACCCTCTCCTGGGACTTTAGGTAAGAATATTAAAATTCAACCACCTTTGAGCAAAATGAGCCAGGAAGAAACAGAGGACAGTTTGTTTCGTCTTCGTGAAGAACACATGTTGTTAAAGAAGCTTTCTTGGAAGCAACAGGATGAGATCAAAAGGTACCTCGAGTTCTCCTTAAGTCTTTAAAAGCTGTATCTACACCGAGCCTGCATGACACTAAACCAAAAAGAATTCATTTTCCTGAGTTTGAAAATAATTTAAATGTCAAAAATGGTCAACTCCATTTCTTTCAATCTTTCCCTCTCTCTAAAAACCAATTGAAAAATATCCTCGAGTGGGGATTAACAACAACAAAAAAATTAATATCACAGATCAATTCAGATTATTTGCTACCAAACAAACTGTAGAAACAGAAGTCACAGGCCACCCACTCTATTTTTGCCCCTAGGATGAGGACAGCCTTGCTGCGGTTGACAGCTGCAGGCTGGGACCTGAGGGCAAAGGTGGCCACCCGGGAGCAGCTGTCAGAGCCGGCCAGGCAGAGGCGGGATGCGGGGCAGCGGCAGCATCCCTCTAAGCACCAGCGCCCCCTGATGCCGGCGCCCCAACAACAGTTCCAGCGCCGGGGCGCCCCCGGATCCCACCGCACGCAGCCCCGGGTGCTTGCGGGACAAAGACAGCTCCACAGCGCGGGCGCCCAGGCGCCGGAGAAGGCTCGGCGCGGTGAGGCTCAGGGCTGGCCCCAGGGCCTGCAGCACCGGGCAAGGCCGGGTGGCCAGCCACATCTTCCTCCTCACCGCTTTATTCCGCCCACCACCACATTTTATTCTTTTGTTCTCCTTCCTCTCTACCTCCCCAAAAGGTTTTTCTTGTTCGTTTGTTTTTGTTTTGTTTTTATTTTCTTTCTCCTGAATGGGATGTCGGGTTCAGAATTCTCAGTTCATCCGGAAATATTGCTGAGTGCAGAATCAGACAACAGAAGCGGAAATGTGTGGGTCTCGTTCTGCAGCGGGCCTGGAAGACAGACATAGAGATAACACGGAGGTGCTGCTCAGTAGTAAGCTGCAATGATCTTAAGATAGGTCACTCTGGGACTCTCAGCCTAAACCTGGGCTTCTTAGCCTTCTGCGGGGGAAGTGGATTTCTTTGAAACCATAATCAAAGTGAGGCCTGCTCCCAGGAAAAATGCACAGCACACAGACAAAACTTTGCAAACCGTTGCATGAGCTCAGAGATACCTAAGGCCCATTCCTGAAGTCCAGGCCTAGAACTCAGCTGTGAGTGAGGAGCTGCAATTTATCTTCTTCCAGTTTTCCAAGCGGCAAAGAGTCTCTGGCTGCTATGAAACCCAACATTGACTTAAGTAAAATTTTGTGTGTAAATTTTTTTCACTTAGTGACTTAAAGCCCTGATTTAGATCCATGGGGATGGAGTATCTTTACCCTGGGGGGCACAATGTTAACTTTTGTTTAGTATGCTCCTCTATTTCCAAGCTCCCTATTGGAACCGACCAAATCTTTGCAAAAATGGCTAAAAGTAGAAAAACTAAAGTCTAAATTTCACTTCAGTTTAACTTCAGCATTACTGAGTACCAATTACATGCCAGACACTAGAACTAAAGAGGCATTAGAGTTAGACATAGAGTTCCTGCCCTGAATAAACTTGTATCTTCTCTGCATTTATACTCACTTACTTGAGAGTCCTGTTGACTTAAAATTCTGTAGTCACATACCTATGCAAGGGTAAAGACTGAGAACTCCTCTAGGATCAGTGTTCGTATAAAGATTTCCCCCAGGCTCAAGGCTCCCTACTCCCAACACTTGGTGTTCCCATTCTAGCACTTGGTATTCTAGAGAAATCTGTTGCTGGTCTGCATCATCTCTCTCAACTTTCAGAGCCAAGAGACAGGCTGAGCTACACAGCCCCTCCCACATTCAAGGAGCATGTGACAAATGAGAAAAACAGAGATAAAATATCCAGGGAACCCAGCGAACTGTGAGTTCTTTTCATTTGTCCTGCATGGTAACTCTTTCAGCTTTAATTGAAAAAAATACACCATTTAGGAACAAGTGGATGTTGTTATTTTTGAGATTGTCAGCATAGCAGAAGAAGATGAAAGTCAATCCTAGGTCAAATTCTAGCTTCATTGCTTAAAAATGGGAAATAAGCACCTCTCTTCTTTTAAGGAAAGGAAAACAAAGGCCTTTCCTTAACTGAAGGTTTTCCCTCTTTTTCTCTTTATATTTTTATTCCTTAAGTCATAATTTATTTATATTTCTGTTTGAACTTAAAAGTTATCCTTTCTCAGATTATCTTCCACACATAATAAGATCACTAATTCCTCTGAATTCTTTTTATATACGTAAAAGCCCAATTCTCAACTTCACCTTCTGTGACAAAGTTTCTATTTCTTCTTTTTGTGCTTAATGTTCCTAATTCTAAAAGTATAATTTCTTTCAGCAAAGTCATAATTATGAATAAACTCATTGGTTTATGCATGCCTAACAGTACTCACATTATGACTAGCAATACTATGCAAGTGGGAGAACCATCCAAGTCTCCTGAGAAGATGTGGTCCAAAGATGAAGATTTTGAACAGAGAAGCTCTTTGGAATGCTCTCAGAAGGCCACAGAGCTTCGGTAAGAGTAGAGCATTCCATGCCGCAAGCCATAATGAACTGAAAAAGCAAGAGATTCTTATTTGTACCTTTTATCAGTCTCAGAGGAAAAAAGAATGCTTGAAAGTAACTTTAGTTTTAAAACTAAAGTTACTTTCAAGCATTCTTTTTTCCTCTGATAAAACTAAAGTTACTTTCAAGCATTCTTTTTTCCTCTGAGACTGATAAATAAAAACAGTTCTCCAGGATAAGGGCTGAGAATCCACCTCTATCTGGTGATGAGAATGAAATAGTTTTTCTTCAACAAAGTAAAGCAACAAATCTATCTATATATTTAAAAAGCCAGCATCCATAATGACCAGAATGCCCTATGACCGGTCACTATGATGCCCACTGTGGCCAGTGAACTGGCCTGATCAGGGGGTGGGGCTGGCTGGCCAATCACCTACAGCCCCTCCCCCACTCAGCCCTACCCCAGATCTGCCCGCCGACCCCATTTGGGGGCAGAATCAGCTGACTGGCCCTGTACCTAATTGGCCCCCCAATTTCAATTGGGGGCAGGGCCCTCGGACAATTGCTTTTGGCCCCTCTCCCTAGCTGGCCCAGCCCAGATTGGGTCCCAATCAGGGCAGGCCAGCTGGCCAACCTCCTGCCATCTCCTCCTCCCGACAGGCCCAGTCCTGATCTGCCCTGATTGGGGCTGGGCTGGCTGGACCCCACCCGTGCACAAATTCATGCACTGGGCCTCTAGTTATACATAAGCATCCCCTTTAGGTTAATCCATTTCTTTATTTTTTAAATTTATTTTTAAAAATATTTTTATTGATTTCAGAGAGGAAAAGAGAGATAGACATATCAATGATGAGAATCATTGATTTACTGCCTCCTGCACGCCCCCTAGAGGGTTGAGCTCATAACCTAGGCATGTGCCCTTGACAGGAATAGAACCTGGGACCCTCAGTCCACAGACCAGTGCTCTATCCACTGAGCCAAACTGGCCAGGGCTAGTCTTTATTTTTTAGAGTAGTTTTAGTTTCACAACAAAATTGAGCAGAAAGTACAGATATTTCCCATAACCCCCCCCCCATGTTACCTCTATACTGGCAACATCCACACCAGAGTAGTACATTTGTTATAGTGGATGATCTTATGCTGACATATCACTATCACCAAAAGTCCATAGTTTACCTTAGGGTTCATTCTTTGTATTATATATTCTTTGAAAAAAATATTTTTATTGACTTCAGAGAGAAGGGAAAGGGAGAGAGAGAAACATCAATGATGAGAGAGAATCATTGATTGGTTGCCTACAGGCCCCCTACTGGGGATCAAGCCTGCAACCCCGGCAGATGCCCTGACTAGGAATCGAACTGTGACCTCCTGGTTCATAGGTTGATACCCAACCACTAAGCCATGCCAGCTGGGCAATGTGTTGTACATTCTATTGTACAAATGTATAATGAGCCCTAGCCAGTTGGCTCCGTGGATAGAGTATCGGCCTGTGAACTGAAGGATCCTGGACAAGGGCATGTGCCTGGGTTGTGAGCTCAATCCCCAGTGGGGGGCCATTCAGGAGGCAATTGATCAGTGATTCTCTCTCATCATTGATGTTTCTCTCTCTACTCCCATCCTCTCTGAAATCAATAAAAATAACAAAAAATGTATAATTATGTGTATTCGTCATTATGGTATCATACAGAATAGTTTCACTACCCTAAAAATCCTCTGTGCTCTGCTTATTCATTCCTTCCTATCTTCTTACCCCTGATGTCACAGATCTTTTTGCTGTCTCTGTGATTTTGTCATTGTCCAGAATGTTGTATAGTTGGAAACATACAGTATGTAGCCTTTTCAGATCGGCTTCTATTTAAATTTACTACACGTGTTTTCAGGCTTGATAGCTCATTTCTTTATTATTATTTTCACTAAATTTATTTGAGTGACATTGGTTGATAATTTGTTTCTTTTTAGCACCAAATAATGTTTCATTATCTGAATATACCACAATTTCCATTCACTTTCTGAAGGACAATTTGGTTGCTTCCAACTTTTGGCAATTATGAATGAAACTGCTATAAACATAACTGTTGGTTGGTTTGTTAGGCATTATCCCATGTACCAAAAGGTTGCCAGCTTGATTTCCGGTCAGGGGACATGCCTGGGTTGTGGGCTGAGTCCCTAGTGGGGGATATGCAGGAGGCAGCCAATCCATGTTTCCCTCTCACATTAATGTTTCTGTCTCTCTCCCTTCCTTTCTCTTAAAAATCAATTACAAAATTTTTGAGAAAAAAATAGCTGTTATGTCTTCTCAGAGCACTGAATTTAAAGTTGGTAGTCTCTCAAATCTCAGCTGGTATGAGGGGAAATGGGAGAAATGAGATTATTATGGGAGTGTGTATACACTTCCTATTTCTGGTGTGTTGTTAGAGAGAGAGGCAGATAAGAAGCAAGAGGAAGGGATTCTTACTGGTGCAGAGTCAGGGGTAAAAGATGCTTAACTTTGTCCTTTCACAGACAGAATATGTTAGCCTATCTTCTTTCTGTAGAGCTTCTATTAAGGAGAACATAGAGGTGATTCGGCTTAAGAAGCTCTTACATGAAAGGGATACCATCCTGGTAGCGACAAAAGCACAACTAACAGAAGTTCAAGAGGTGAGTTGCCATCATCAGCTGTGTTTTTATTTTTTGTTTTTGAAAAACAATTAGTTGAGCATTATTGTCTCCATCTTATACATCAGAGACCACAATTGAGAGACATTAAATTATTTGTCTAAGGTCACACAACTTATAGGTGATATTCAAATCCAAACCTCACAACTCAGAGTCCATTCTTTTTCCATTAGGAAGAAGGCTCAAGCCCTCCCCGATAAGGTGGAAGTAAATGGGGTTAATTTGTGTCAAGGTTAAGGTACCAGCCAAGAATTATATGCAGAATGTAAGTTAGAAAGTCAAGGTCAGAAGAGAAGAACAGCTTTACTGAGTACTCTCCATGTGCTGGACTCGGTACTAGATACTTATAGACATGATCTCATTTAAGCCTGACCACAACCCTCAAGGTAAGTACATTTAATGGGTGAAGGAACTGAGCCTCAAAGAAGTTAAGTAACTTACCCAAGTCATGCAAATAGTAAGGGGCAGAGCAGGCTTTGAGTCCCATTTATCTGCCACAGAGGCACCATTCTTCTTTGTTTTATAATCCTCATTTGAGGTAATTTTTTCCATTGATTAAAAAAAAAAATATATATATATATATATATATATATATATATATATATATATATATAATTTCGGAGAGAAAAGGAGAGAAAGAGACAGAAACATCAATGATGAGAGAGAATCATTGATTGGCTGCCTCCTGCAGGTTCCACACTGGAGATCAAGCCCAAAACCCGGGTATGTGCCCTTGGCCAGAATCAAACCTGGGACTCTTCAGTCCGCAGGCCAACACTGTATCCACTGAGCCAAACCGGCTAGAGCTTTTCTATTGATTTTTAGAGAGAATGGAAGGGAGAGGGAGAGAGAGACAGAGAAACATCAATGTGAGAGGGAAACATCGATTGGCTACCTCCTGCATGCTCCCTATCAGAGATTGAATCTGCAATCTGGGCATGTGCCCTAACCAGGGATCAAGCTCCACTTTTGGTGTACTGAATGATGCCCAAACAACTGAGCCACACCAGCCAGGGCTGATTTGGTTGATTTTGGTAGCACTTAAAGGATGTGAAAATATAGAAAGGAAAATAATTTAAAGTTGTATAGGTAAATAGCTGTACAGATTCCCCCACTAACTGAATGTTTAGTGTTCTTATGAAGGCTTTTATAAGCTGAAATGGCCTAAAGCAAGAAGCAGTTACCATTAAATTTATATAGAAAATTCGGGGGGAATTTCAAGACCCAAAAAATAACCCACCAAGTCAAACCAAATAATATTAACATCCCAGCTTGCCTTAGTATTATATATTCCCTGAAACCCAAGATGAATTGTGTAGTGCAAATTGTTGTACTATATACTACTTATTGTTGAGTCTATACACATTTATTGTTTTCTGGGATTTGTGCCCTTCAAACAAATATTGACACCTTGTACAAAAATAAAGTAAAATAAAATTAATTAAAGAAAAAATAAAATTACACTAACAAATAGTAAATGTAAGAACAATATGATAGCCCAGTTGATGTTCTCAGTGGGTTTCAGGGAATATACTAATGCTTTGCATTCCTATTGGTTAGTGAAAACAGGTCCTGATGCAGCTCTTTCACTTCTTGGCCTATGAACCAAGAAGTCCTGGTTTGATTCCTGGTTGGGTGCATGCCCAGTTTTGGGGCTCTATCCCCAATGGGGATGTGTGTGTGAGGCAGCTGATCTCTCTCTCCTCTCTCTCCCTCTCTCTCTCTCTCTCTCTCTCTCTCTCTCTCTCTCTCTCTCTCTCTCTCTCTCCCCTCTCCTTTCCTCTCTGAAATAAATAAAAATATATTTACAAAAGAGAACAAACCCTGGCTGGGTTTGGCTCAGTGCATAGAGTGTCAGCCTGTGGACTGAAGGGTTTCAGGTTCGATTCCAGCCAAGGGAACATGTCTGGTTGCGGGCTCGGTCCCCAGTAGGGAGCATGCAGGAGGCAGCCTATCAATGATTCTCATCATTGATGTTTTGATTTCTCTCTCCCTCTTCCTTCCTCTCTCTGAAATCAATAGAGAGAGAGAGAGATCATAAATATACATCATACTTTACACACCTATCAGTCCACTCAAGCAGTAGACTTTCCATTTTATCTGTTATTGAGTATTACTAACAGGATTTTGCTACTAGCAGAAGCAAGAGAAACTTCTGCAGCTTCCAAGATTCTTCCTCTCTGCCTGTAAATAGTATGCATGGTGGACGCAGGCACGTTCAATGCAAGCACAATATCTTTATTTTGTTCTTCACCATTGAAATATTTTAAGTGCTTCCAGTGTTATGCTGTGTAACAACCTTACAAACCCTCTTAGGCTTTTCTGTTATTTGCTAATAGACGCACAAAATAAATCGAGATAAAGAACAGATGCTCTCAGACACAGTTCAAGCTGTGGCAGCCCGATGCTGAGAAGCTGAGTGCAGTTGCAGGGAAGGAGCCTGGCCGTGCCACTCCTGCTGCTGTGCTCTGAATAGAGGCTCATTGGAAACAAGCACTGATGTTATTTTTGCATTTCACCTTAGCGTGCAAATGCTCTTTGAAATGCAAATCTGCTTTGCATTCCTACTGGTTAGTGAAAACAGGTCCTGATGCAGCTCTTTCACAAAAGCTAAGTGGCACAATGTGAACCTTCAAAAACCAAGGGATACCTGTTCTGTGGGATTAGGTTTTTTAAAAATTGATCTCTTCCTTCATTACATTAAAGAAAAAGAGGAAGAAAGCCATTCTAAATTGAATGTCAGTGGTAGTGGTGGAGATTAGTTAAAATGGTGAACAATCATCCACAATTTTTTATTCTATTTTTTGATATATTTTTTTTATTATTGATAGTATTACAGATATTTCCTATTTTTCTCCCCCTTTTCCTCCCTCCCATCCACAGTTTTTTAAAATGTAGGTTTACAATTTGGCTTTTTCTTTTTTCTTTTTTCTTTTTTTTAAATATTTTATTAATTTCAGAGAGTAAGGAAGAGGGAGAGAGAGATAGAAACATCAATGATGAGAGAGAATCATGGATCCACTGCCTTCTGCACTCCCCACTCTGGGAACCAAGCCCGCAACCTGGGCATGTGCCCTGACCAGGAATCAAATGTGACTTCCTGGTTCATAGGTCGATGCTTAACCACTGAGCCATCCCTGTCTGCTCTCTGCTTTTTTTTTTTTTAGACTGTATTTTTAAAATATATATTTTTATTGATTTAAGAGAGGAAGGGAGAGGGCAAAAGAGATAGAAACATCAATGATGAAAGAGACTGATTCATCATGCCCCATACTAGGGATTGAGCCGAAATCCAGGCTTATACCTTGGTGGGAATCAACCTATGAAGCTATGAAGCGAGAGGTTCATAGGTCGAAACTCAACCATTGAGCCACACCTGGCTGGGCACAATTCGTTTTTCTTTAGCAATTTACCTTTTAGTCATGCTTTCATTCACATATACTAAAATAAATTTGCATCCTCTTAATCCCTTATCAGTAAAATAAGATAGTCAATAGCACAGATTCTAGAGTCTGAACAAGTTTTAAAGTTTAGGCAATCCAACCTACCAATCAGATTTGCTGTAATAATTAAATGAGATAATATATGTAGGACAATTATAATTATCATAATGTAATATATAATGAAACACATAGAAACATATAACACATAGTAACTGCTCAACCAATAATACTTGGTACTATTTTGGTTATTATTGTTTTTTCTTTTTTTAAAGCTGGAAAGAGACCTTCTGAAGCATGTCTAGTTTCTAAAGATTTTTCTAGGATAATCCACCAAGTGCAAAGCAAATGTGGATAAATGACCCTTCATTTAAAAAATTATTATTATCTTTTGTTAATCCTTACTGGAGGATATTTTTCCATTGATTTTTAGAGTGGAAGGGAGGGAGAGAGAGACATTCATGTGAGAGAAACACATTTATTGGCTGCCTCCTGACCTACCGGGGCGGGGATCAAATCTGCAACCCAGGCACATGCCCTTGACCAAGAGTCAAGCCTGTGACCCTTATGTGCATGGGCTGATGCTCTAATCTAGGGGTGTCAAACTCAATCAGAGAAGAGGCCAAAATCTAAAATCCAGCCTAAATCGCGGGCCGAATGGTTTACTGAACTGTCATAAACTGTCATTGTGATGGAAACGAAGCAGAGTGCAGTGATGACAGCGCGGTGCGGGCCACATTGCAAGGCCTGGCGGGATGGATTTGGCCCGCGGGCCTTGTGTTTGACACATGTGCTAATCATTGAGACATACCAGCCAGGGCATTTCATTTTTATTTTTTTAATGTTGTGGTCTATTAGATTCATAAACAATATGGCAAGCTAGCACAAGGGGATAGTATTAGCAATTAGTAATCAGGTACTCAAATGAGTTTATGTGGGGATTTTTAATGATGACTTAAAAAATAAATATTTAAACATTTGTGTTAAAAACATCAAAATAAAAATCAAGTTGATATATCAATAGAATAATACTTATTTTTTTCTTTCAGGCATATGAAACTCTGCTCCAGAAGGTACTTAATAAGGATTCCTTGAATCTGTTTCTGGTCAATCAGAGTAATGAAACCCAAAGAATTCTGGATTCATCTTCAAGCAGCGTGACACCAGAATTTAACCAACTAAATCAAAGCGATTGTGTCACATACCGCACACATTTCTGTTAAGATAAACGATACTAGTAGAATTATCAGAAGCTACTTGTTGCACTGTTTCCAAAAAGAATTTTTTTAAAAATATCAGAGCTGAGTTGAGAAATATTTAGAAGAGTGTTTTTCAATCTATTGCTAGAGAGAATTATAGCATTAACTCACAAATTCCTAAGATATGTGAGATGGTAAGATGTAACAACATTGCAGATCTTCTCTGGTGCTATTAAATACTTGGCCCTCTTCACTGCTGAGAGTGGGGTACAGATGAGGCTGGGGGAGTGTTCGTGCTTAAAAGTCACTAAGGCAGAGTTCCTCGACAGAGGTGTCCGCCAACAAACGCACGCTTAACTTCTAGAATGAACGTGTCATTTTGCTGGGTGCAGGGGGAGAGTGTATCATCATAAAGAGCATTCACATAGCTCAGAGAGTAACGGCAGGCAGCCGTGAAAGGTGGTGCTTCACTTGGAGCCAGGGTTTAATTTGAACCTTGGGAAAATTAAGGCTCCAATTATGAATGCCAGTTTATCAGAGTGGGAAATCCTCACTCTCGGGGAAACAATACTTCCTGAGAAATGCTAGGGTGAAAACACAAGGCCGCTTTACACTGCAAATATAACATGCTGTTCCTCAAAGCCATGCTTTGGGACATCCATGAGGGAGTGACAGGAAGGCTGGTATCCTGAGTCCACTCCTGGTGAGTGACATGACCATTCCCAGAGCACCTTCCCTTTTGCCCCAGAACCAGGGGATCCTGAGTACAACCCAGGATGCCCTCCTCAGCCAAGTGAATGAGCTGAGGGCAGCGCTGAAGGAGGAGAGCAGGAAGGCTGTGAGCCTGAAGAGTCAGCTGGAGGATGTGTCCATTCTGCAGATAACATTGAAGGAGGTAAATAATGATGGGAAGATACCATTAATCGTCATTATGTTCTGATTTTAAAGATGTTAAAAAGTGTATCTCAGCAGCACGATGGGTATTTCATTTTTTTCAAATGAGAAACACAAGGCTCTACGTGGTTAAATAATTTGCTCAAGATTATAATAATGGGGAATACTGGAATTGATACGCCTGTTCTCCAAAGTCTTTGCTCTTCTACAGTGTTCTGCTGCTTCCCTAACAGTAGAAACTCAGACACCATGATCATTTATTTCAGATAATCTTCATTAATTCCAAGAAAAGTTTCCATCCCGTCTTTAATTGGTTCAAGACTTTCTAGTTGAGTGTCTCCTCATAGACATTGGAGGTGAATGTAGAAAACCTCCCAACGAGGTTTACCCTGAAACAGAAAAGGGAAATCTTGTGCAAGACAATATCTTTTAAAATTTTATCTGTCACTCTACTGTTATTCCTAGTTTCAGGAAAGAGTTGATGATTTGGAAAAAGAGCGAAAATTGCTGAACGACAACTATAACAAACTCTTAGAAATGTGAGTACCTCCCTTCCTCTCTGTATAAAATTAATAAAATACATTAAAAAAAAAAAAAAGAAGAAATGTGAGTACCACATTTGGGTCCCAGTGCATTGTTTGTTATAAAAGACAGTTATAGAAAAATGCCTTCCCAACTGTAAAAATAATACATAGTTGACAGGAATGTGGGGAAACTGGTACTCAATACTGTTAGTGAGAATGTAGCTCAGCACAGTGTTTTTGCAAGGGAACTTGATACTATCTACCAAAATGTTAAACCTCTGTATATCTTTTGTGCCAGCAATTGCATTCTTTAAAACAAAACAAAAGAAATCTTATTATATGTATATGCAAAGATATTGTATAATAAGACTGTTAATTGCTGCATTTTTTTAGTTTTATTGATTTCAGAAACGAAGGGAGAGGGAGAGAATCATTGCTAGGCTGACTGCTGACCAGGGCTGGGAATCTAATCATGAGACCTCCTAGTTAGATTTTGAGCAACACCAGAATCTAACATCCACTGTCAAAACCGGTTTGGCTCAGTGAATAGAGCATCGGCCTGCAGACTGAAAGGTCCCGGGTTCAATTCCAGTCAAGGGCATGTACCTTGGTTGTGGGCACATCCCCAGTAGAAGGTGTGCAGGAGGCAGCTGATTGATGTTTCTCCCTCATCGATGTTTCTAGCTCTCTATCCCTCTTGCTTCCTCTCTGTAAAAAATCAATAAAATATATTTTTTAAAAACACCTAGAATTACCGGTAATAAAAATCAAATGTGCCTTCTGATTCAGTTAAAGGCAGAAGAGGATATATTGGGGAAGTTGTATGGGGGCATCCTAGGAAAAAGTGATGCTTTTCAACTCAGTGAAATGAGGTAGTGTGGGGATTATCCACGTTGAAGCTTCGCTGTTACAAACACTACTATTGGCCTCTTCCCTTCATCATTCAGAACATTATCTTCTTGGACCCTCATTTGAGTGTATGGTCAGGAAGTGCCAACAACTCTTAATATTAGCCTAAGCCAGTTGTTTTTAGACCACATTTATTGAAGTGATACATAGGAAAAAAAGACATAAGCAGAAATAACAGTTTATCAATATCACTCCACTTGTGTAAACAACCAAGGACTGGCCATGTGTGTTTTACATTCAAAATGGGTCTGCCCTGTCCTGGCCGGAGATGGTTCAGATAGAGTGTCAGCCCAAGAACATAAGGGTCTCAGGTCAGCTTCCTGGTCAAGGGCACCTATCTGGGTTGCAGGTTTGTTCCCTGGCCCCTGTTGTGGTGCTTGTGTGAAGCAGCCAATTGAGGTGTCTCTCCCACACTGATGTTTTTCTCTCTTACCTCTCTCTCCCCCTTCCCCTTCCCTTCTACTCTCACTAAAAATCAATGATAAATATCATTAAATGAGGAGTAATAAAACAAACAAACCCAAAATTGGTCTGCCCTGACAGCTAGATACAATGGTGTTTGCAGGGTACAGTCACCAAAAAATTGAAACTATTCATTCCTACCTTTCAGTGTAGTCATTTAAAAAAATATTTTTAATTGATTTCAGAAAGGGAGAGGGAAAGAGAGATAGAAATGTTAATGACAAGAGAGAAGCATTGACTGGCTGCCTCCTGCACACCCCCCACAAGGGATGGGTCCCTGATCAGGAATTGAACCATAACTTCCTGGCTTATAGATATTCAACCACTGAGCCAGGCCGGCTAGGCTCAGTGTAGTAATTTATATTCTAATTCAAAGCCAAGTATTCTCTAAACTAGCCATTGGCAATGGTAGATAGAGGAATAGAGTGAGGAATGAGGAATATTTTGTTCCTCATTTTAATCCAGCAGGCTTGAGAATATCCTGGTACAGTTTCCTGACTAAGGAAAGCCGTCATGCTAGGCAGTTCCTTGGGAAATAGATGTAATTTGGGTTGTTTGCCCATGAGATATTTGAGGCCTAAACAGAAGTGATGTTAAAGAACTCAATAGGACCCAACGTTCCATGGCAGTTGGTAACTGACAGTTACAGATAAAACAGGGGCAGAAAAAAACACAAAAAACATGTAGGGCAGTGAATGGTGAACTAGGCCCAGGAGATGCTGAAACTGTGTAATAAAGACATTTTATCAAACACCTTTGAGTATCCATCTGACAAACCCCCACTCCTTCCTTCCTTCTTCTCGGGTTCAGCATGCTGGACAGCAGTAATCCTCATCACTGGAGCAAAGAGCTTGTAGGAGAACAGCTACCGCAGAAAGTGGATCAGTTGCAGCATCATCTGGATGCTGAGCTGGAGGAGAAGAGCAAAGTCTTACTTCAGCTGTCCAGCGTGACAGGTAGGTTGGGTCTTGCAGAGCTGTCTCCAATGAGGCATCCTTGGCATCGGTTTGGGGAGAAAGGAACTGGGGTCAGCATTTCTCTAATCCCTCAGTTGGTCATAGATAACTAGAATAAAAACACTGGCAATGAGGATCAGCTTTACAATCCAGAAAGCACAACACCTACCTCACACTTACACTTTTTTCTACATAATGACTTTCCATTTGAGAAGATGCCAATTCTTAATTTATTATGCTTGTGTGTGTGTGTGTGTGTGTGTATTAAAAAATACTTTTTTATATTTTTTTCAGAGAAGAACGGAGAAGGAGAGATAGAAACATCAATGATGAAAGTGAATAATTGATCAGCCTGCCTCCTGCATGCCCCCTACTGGGAATCAAGCCCAAAACTCTGGCATGTGTCAAGACTAGGAATTGAACTATGACCTTCTGGTTCATAGGTCGGTGCTCAACCACTGAGCAACACCGGCTAGGCTATTATGTTTTTAAACATTCACTTTATTTATTTATTAAATATATTTTTATTGACGTTAAAGAGGAAGAGAGAGGAAGATAGAAATAGAAACATCAATGATGAGAGTGAATCATTGATCAGCTGCCTCTTGCATGCCCCCTACTGGGTGTCGAGCCCACAATCTGGGCATGTGCCCTTGACCAGAATCAAACCCGAGACCCTTCAGTCCACAGACCAACACTCTATCCATGGAGCCAAACTGGCTAGGGCCACTTGATTTACTAAAAGTATTGAAAATGAATTTCTCTGCCTTTTATTCTTATTAATCATTTTAGAAGTGATTGAGTGCCTTATTATTATTTTTATTTTTAGCATTTGATACCTGAAATTGAGAAGCAAATTATTGCTCTTAGTTACCACTACTGTTTTCTCCTATCCTAACTCCTGGATCACAGTAGATAGTTACTCCAAAGATGTTTAGGGCTCACCACACTGCGAACAACAAGTTCTGTTTCCTGGCTGAGGAGGCAATTGGCAGGCAGAGTAGTGGCCCAGCAGCCTGTCCTTTTGGCTGAGTTATTTGAGTTGCATAGTTTATATAAACTGCATCAGAGGCCACATGTCAAAATATTGGAGCCAAAATTAAAGCTGATGAATCCCCAAGACTCACATGAAAAAATGTCTCTTGATCTATACTGGACTTCTCGAGCCCACACTTTAACCTTGTGTGTTAAGCCACTGAGATAAAACACATATTTGTTACTGCAGCATACTTGTATTAGTGTATACTGATTAATCATCAGACTATATCTTAAAATTGAAATAAATATATTGAAAAAAAGACTCAAAGATTTTAAAATACTATCAAAAAAAACCTTGGCCTCACTCTTTTTTGCTAGCCTAAACCTTGATATTTAGTCTTATTAAACTTTGCTTTCATCATACTCTAGCATATGCACATAAGAGAGTGAAAGAAAAAAATATATAACACCAAAAAAGATAGAGCCACACACACTAAAAGAAAAATTGAGGCGGTCATAGTTATATGAAGTACAGCATATGTAATCAAATATTGTAATGTGTATGGTGCCATTTGGATACTAGAAATATCAGAGGGAGTTCTATCCACTGATTTGGCTCAGTGGATAGAACATCAGCCTGTGGACTGAAGGGTCCCAGGTTCGATTCCAGTCAAGTGCACGTACCAGTGCAGCTTGATTCCCAGCTCTGATCAAGGCACATGCAGGAGGCAACCAATTGATGTGTGTCTCTCTCTCATGGATGTTTCTCTTTGTCTCCCCCTCCTTTCCACTCTCTAAAAAATCAGTGGAGCCCTGGCCAGTTTGGTTCAGTGAATAGAGTGTAGGCCTGCAGACTGAAGGGTCCCGAGTTTGATTCTGGTCAAAGGCATGTACCTCAGTTGCAGGCACATCCCTAGTAGGAGGTGTGCAGGAGGCAGCTGATCGATATTTCTCTCTCATAGATGTTTCTAACTCTCTTTCCCTCTCCCTTCTTCTCTGTGAAAAATCAATAAAATATATTTTAAAAATAAAAATAAAAATCAATGGAAAGATATCCTTGGATGAGGATTAAGAAATATCAGGGGGAACACTTTGTAAAGTATACAAATATCTCACCAGTATGCTAAACACTTGAAATTAATACAAAATAATATTGAGTATAAACTGTAATTTAAAAAAATAAAAAAAATTTTAAAAGAAAAATTATTCTTTTCAATTAGAAGCAGAAACCATAAAATGATAAAGCTAGGAGCACATATTGAGGACCTTGTAGTAGGTATGAAGCACAAGTGAAGTCTTGTAAAGACCTCAGAGTAATCTAATCTAACCCCTGTTTAGTGCATGATAATAGAATGATAACACTAAATGTTGATCACCTTCCTTCCCTAAACACGCAAACCCACCAATGCCCACTCTCTCTCCAGATTCGAGTGGGTGTGGAGTGGGTGCCACAGAAAGTCAATAGATGGAAGTCTCAATGGAGTTGGAGAGGAGTTGCTGGCATACTGGTTTGGATGGTGCTGTCAAAAAAGTTTTGAACTGAACCAGTCCAATCAAGTGGCTCTGTTTTTGTTTGTTGTTGTTCTACCTTTTACTCTCCAGTTCTGCCGGTGGTTTTTTTGTTTGGCTTTTGGAGTCCAAAGATCAACTCATTTTACTGGGACAATACGCTGGAGCTCCTTTGGAGAAATAAAAGAGGATTGCTTTTCTCAGGACACATTTATAAAATGAATTAAATTAGTGGAAAATTTGATTTATACTTGGTCCAGCTTTAACCATGGATGCTGATAACTACAGAGTTTCAACTTCCCGGATTACTTTTTCCCCAGGTCAAAACAAGGATCCGAAGCTTGAAGTCACCAACCTGCTTCAGAAACATGAGCAGGAAGTAGAGATATTCCAGAATAAAGACGCACTTTCCCAACCTACCGACCACGGGCCAGCTGAGCCCGCCCCGCCCCCGGCTCCATTTCTGGAGGCCACTCAGTTAGAGGTATGTGCATCTTTAACCAAGCCAGCTCCCTCTACCGAAAACATGGAAGGATTACAACCCTAATCCATACCTGTTTTTCTTTCTACTCTTTACAGTTAAAAAAAAAAAACCTTTAAATGAGGGCTTGGAATGATCCGATGAGAAACAAACAGGCAGTAGTAGCGGCTGCGTAACTCCTACTGAGCGCGAGGAGCCAGGAGAGCGCACTTGTCCGCATACATTTTGGACTAGATTCTACCACTGGCATTTTACTGTTACCAACGACTGCTTTATGGAGAATAGTTTTTACTGGACCTGTTATATTTATACTCCCTTCTACCTATGCTCTTCCCTCTACAGCTCCGTGAACCAAAAGAACAAGAAGGAAAGAAACTGTCCCAGGTGTTAAGTGAGTTGCAAACATCATTTGCAGAGACCACACTGGAACTAGAAAAGACCAGAGATATGCTTATTCTGCAGCGCAAAATCAACGTGTGTTATCAGGTGCAAGAAAAGAGGGTCCAGGAAGGGGAGAGAGAAATAGGCACATGGGGATCCCTTCCAAGACTGGGAATGAAGCAAGACCCTAGTTTCCTATCCTAACTCTTGGATCACAGTAGATAGTTACTCCAAAGATGTTAAGGGCTCAGCACATTGAGAACAACATGTTCTGTGTTGGGCTGATGCAAGGTGACGTGAGGCCCTGTGCAAACACAGAAAGTGCTGTCCTTTGTAAAACTTGAGAACTCACACATGCCCACTGGCGTTAGAAGCCAGTGAAGGGGCCAGCGGCGGCTGGAAATGGCAGGTGTGAGCCGGACGGGTTTAAATGTTGCCAGTCCCAGGAAAACAGCACCCCAGGGCACTAATAGCATTACTGGTCCTGGAGGGGTCTGTGAGGAATCCAAGTTTTTCCCTAGTGGTTGAATTGGCCCTGCAAAGGAGATAGTGACGTCTCTTTTACCCAGCAAGTATCAGCTTTTATCTGGGCTCTTTAGTTCTGGGCCACTGAGGTAGAAAAGTTCTGACATTATTTTGTTTCAGGAGGAACTGGATGCAATGATAACAAAAGCTGATAATGAGAATCAAGATCACAAAGAAAAAATGGAGAGGCTGAACAGACTCCTAGACCTCAAGAACAATCGTATCAAGCAGCTGGAAGGTATTTTAAGAAGCCATGGCCTCCCACTATCTGGCAAGTCTTAGTATTTTGTTCTCCCCTCCTTGGGACCCACACACAGCTACTGTCTGTGTCCCTGGCACACGACTTACCCCTCCTGTTCTTTTTTTTCTTTTTTTCTTTTTTTCTTTTTTAAATATATTTTATTGATTTTTTACAGAGAGGAAGGGAGAGAGAGAGCTAGAAACGTCGATGAGAGACAAACATCGACCAGCTGCCTCTTGCACACTCCCTACCGGGGATGTGCCGCAACCAGCGTACATGCCCCTGACCTGGGACCTTTCAGTCCGCAGACCAACGCTCTACCACTGAGCCAAACCGGTTTCGACAACCCCTCCTGTTCTTTATCCTACCATCTTTGTTGTCTTAAAAGTGGCTCGCAGCTTCTTTTGCTCCAGTACATCAGCATCTCTCTCTGATTTCTCCGGAGAGTTTCAACAGGGCCCAGCAATAGCTGAAACTATTTTGGGAATGAGAGCAGATCACCATCAGCCCTCGGGATGGTGTAAACATTCCCTCTCTTATGATTGTTGCCTCAACCCAGGCCTGCATCGCAGTTTTCGTGAGATAATAGCATTTTATCACTCATTTCTCATCATCCTTTTTTTGTGATTTCTCTCTAACCGGCTCTAAATTCTTTGTTGTAGTTTGAGGATGTTGGCAAAACAGGACACGTGACTGGACCCCTCTGCAAGTTCCATTATGTGGTACTTGCTATCTTTAGTAGATCACTGCTGACCAGGACCTGGTCTCAGCCTTGCTTGTCAAGAAAATTGGCTTTGTTATTGCTCTTAATGAGAGACCTGACTGACACTAAGCAAAATTCATCAAAGACTGATAGTTAAGCCAGCATGTTCACTTGTTGTATCTGTGATAGTGGCTGCCGCGAGAATATTTGAAACCACTGTTCAGGACAGCCCTTTCTCGGGAAAGCAGAATCAGTAAGCCGGTTACTAAGTGAGCATGGAGCTAGGATAAAGGGAGGTGGGCCATTCTGGGGCATGGTTTATCCATGCCAGGGTGAGTCTGTTAAAAGGTCATTGCCATCTAACAAAGGAAATCCCTCCTGGGATTGAAATTCTCATGTCTTTCAGTTTCACGGTCTTTCTCCTGGGATAGTGCAGGATAAATACCCTTATCTACTTCTAAGGATTCATTTATTTTAACTTCATCAGTCTGTCATTACTGGTGAGGCTACTGAGTTTTTCCTGTGTTTACCAGTTATTTGTATTATTTCTTTTGAGAATTGCCTGTTTCTGTTCTTTATCCATTTCTTACAGTATTTCATTGATTTGTAGAATTTCTTCATATGCTAAGATTGTTAACTGTGTCCTGTAATGCAAAATTTTAGATTTCTTTTCTTGAGTTGTATTAATCTTACCAATTAAGAACCCATGTCAATCTCTGTATTTCATTTATTTTGGGTGGGAAGAAACCCTAACATGTGCAAAAATATTTTTATTCTACTACTTTAACTCTTTAAATAGGACCTTCACCATCAACACACTGAAGACTCAAACACTCCCCGATATCAAGTTTCTGGTTGGTTGGACATGGGAGGTAATACACAGATTTGTTAGACTGTCTTAACATACCTTTGCATTCCATTGTCAATATTTTCAGCCTCTTTCCAATAAGTGTCCTCCTCCACTTTTTACTTCATTACTCTTTAACTTAAAGTAGGTTTGCTTTGCCTTCTCATGATGAAATAAAATTCTGAACAGAATGAAGATTCTTGGGACTGATCTGGCTGGAGAGGAGGAATCCTTTATTAGCAGGGCCCAATGGGATACCACGACTGTAACTTGCTATTCTTTCCATGGGTAATATCCCAACATTTTGGAAATACTCACATTTTCCGTTTCTAGCACTTCTCTGATGGAATTACCAGTTAATTCACAAGGCGTTGCTGTCAGCCAGAATGTCATTTGTAGAATAAATTTGGCCTCCAGTGTTTTCCTGAGCTTAGTGTTTACTTTCCCATTACTCCTTTTGAACCTTACTTCTAAAGGAGATATTGGATTGTTGAGCCATTAGAATTCAAAGCTCCTGGTTGTCATTCTGCTGCTTTTCTCTTTGAATCACATGGTTTCTTGAAATAATCACAACCTGGACTTCCGCTATGGCTTCTAGGCTCCTTTTGTCCACCTTCCTTTATTCTAAGAAAGAGTGCCCTGCCCTTTAATGGATAGGCAGTTTTCTTTCCCCCCTAGAACAGCTCAAAGATGTGGCTTATGGTACCCGACAGATGTCGTTGTATCGGGAAACACTGCCAGCCCACAGAGATGGGGATAAAGTGAACATTTCTCTGTTGCATCAAAGTGAGAATCTGTTGGAACTGCACATTCACCAGGCCTTCCTGACATCTGCTGCTCTGGCTCAGGCTGAAGACACGCAACCTACCACTTTCTGCACCTATTCCTTCTATGATTTTGAAACCCACTGTACCCCTCTAGCTGTGGGGCCACACCCTCTTTATGACTTCACCTCCCAGTATGTGGTAGAGACAGACTCCCTTTTCTTGCACTACCTTCAAGGGGCTTCAGCCCAGCTTGAGCTTCACCAGGCGCTAGGCAGTGAGCACCACACCCTTGCAGCTGGATGGATTTGCTTTGGTAGGGTGCTGGACACCGTGGAGAGAGTCCATGGCTCTGCCACACTTACTGGTAAGTGTTGTCAGCTTCCCTCAGCTCCTGGGGCTAATGCAGAATTTCCCAAAGTCTATAGTTGCCCTTCTGGTGCTCTCCCTTTCCTTTGCTTTATATATATATATATATATATATATATATATATATATATATATATATATATTAATTGATTTTTCAGAGAGGAAGGGTAATGGATAGAGAACTATAACCATTGATGAGAGAGAAACATCAACCAGCTGCCTCCTACACACTCCCTACTGGGGATTGCCCGCAACCAAGGTACACGCCTTTGACTGGAGTTGAACCTGGGACCCTTCAGTCCCCAGGCCGATGCTCTATCCACTGAGCCAAACCAGTTTCGGCATTGCCTTTATTCTTGATCCTCGCCACGCCATCTGTATCCTCCATGCCTTTCAAACCTTCTGCTACCCAGGAGCTGGTGGAGAAGACTTTGGGGTGCTAGAATACTGGATGAGGCTGCACTCCCCCATAAGATCCAGCGTACAGGCATGCAATAAGCGAAAAAAAGCTCAGGCCTACCTGTCAGCCAATGTGCTTGGAGCCTGGAGGGCCCAGGAGGATGAGGTGAGAAAAAGGATGTGCCCGTGCATCTCCAAGGAGCCTCATCCCAGCAGCTCATGATATCAGCTCATCCTCCCATTGAATGTGAATGGGAGAGAAAAACCGTCACACCACAAGTAGTTCAGATTCTTTCCTTGCTCAAGCCTAAGTTTGAAATGAGACCATGTCCTTGGAGCTAGTTAGCTCCCTGCTGTGAACAAAATAGCTTTTCTGTTCCATTCTCCAAGACAAGGCCTGAGTGCCAGCATCTCCCTCAGATAGCCATCTGTCCGAGCCAGTCTGCAGGCAGGTGAGCGTGGTTAGGTTTCTCTGTGACCCAGTTCTCTAGGTCAGAGTTCTTGCTCTTTAAGAATGCTGGGCTTCACCTACAACAACTCTCTTAGGTTGCCCTTTTCCTCCATCCAAGACCACCATCTCTCCAGTCCGGATCAGAGACTTGGAAACATCAGAATGAGCTGCAGGTGGAAATCACCAGATGCTGTGGCCTCCAGAGTCGACGGCTGGGAACCCAACCCAGTCCGTATGCCATGTACCGTTTCTTCACCTTTCCTGACCACGACACGGCCATCATTCCCGCCAGTAACAATCCCTACTTTAGAGACCAGGCCCAGTTCCCAGTGCTTGTGACTTCTGACCTGGATCGGTATCTGAGACGGGAGGCCCTGTCCATATACGTTTTTGATGATGAAGACCCAGAATCTGGCTCCTACCTTGGCAAAGTGCAAGTGCCCTTGCTGCCTCTTGCACAAAACAAATCCATTAAAGGTGGGAGTTCAAGGTTACTGCGTTGTTATGGTCCTTTCCCAGTGTTGCCTTCCTGCCCTAATTCTACTTTTCTTTGATTACTTGCTTGGCACAGTCTCTCTTAAAACCTGCTGAAAGGATGTTAGAATGTTGTCAAAAGCGACAGAGCAGACTTCTTCTGCTTCAACAACTAAAGCAAGATTCCCGAGTGGGTAGGCCCACCAACCTGAAGTCATGCCTTTATTTCTGAACAAACATTTTCCAGTTCTGTAGTGCTTCCCAGTATTTGTCTTTACTTAAGAACTATTGTTTCTTAGCGCACGTGACTAGATATCAGATTATAAACCATCCTTCACACCCCCTCATAATTCTCTTCCTTCCTTAAAGTATTCGACACAAGTTAGTAAGAGTTCTATCTATACCACAACTAAGGGAAATTTCTTTAAAATATCCCCCCACCCCCAATGGAGCTTAACTTCATACTCCCTTACTTTACTTGCACACCCAGGGTTGTGGGGGGCACCCAGGAAGGGTGAACTCTCTGGAAGGGTGAGGCAGGGGTACCCAAGCTCTCAGTAAGAAGTGTGACGGACATAGCCAGTGTACCAAGCATGTTTCACAAGCATCTGGATGTACCAGGAAGTGTGTGAGGATTCTCTCCTCCCAATATCACAAGTGCTTTAAACAAACAAACCAAAAGGCTGACACTTCTGCTCACCAGCCATCCTTTGCCAAAGAGGAAGTACAATGTGAGTCATCTGTTAAATGAATCAGCATTACCAATTAGAAGTCTGGCCTTTTGGGAAAAGCTGTTTTGCTTAAATTTCCTTGGCTTTTGTTATTTTAGAAATAAGGACCACTTGAGTATAGATAATGGTTTCCTTTGTATGCCTAAGGCATAGCCAGCATTTGGTAACAGCAATGATAACGTGATCCTGTTTATCGTCTGAGTGACGAATGACAAGCAAGCTCTACCCATCCCTACATCCTTTGACTCTCCCTCCTTGAAACCTGGGGATACCCACCTGCCCCTCCAAATATTTTAAGGGAATATTAGAAGTAAATATTCTATGGAAGCATGCATCTTCAAGACCATTCTACGTTACTCCTGAGTGTATTGCATCATGATTATTTGATGAATGTTAATTGTGTTCAATACGGTGGAATTTAAAAACGGAGGGAATAGACAAGCCGCTGATAAATGCTCACTTACCTGTTTCATTTGATCAGGTCTTACTAATGTCTGTGTGTCTCTCAGGTGATTTTAACCTAACGGACCCTGAGAGAAAACCCAACGGGTCTGTTCAGGTACAGCTGGATTGGAAGTCGTGCTATCTATCTCCCGCGAGCCTCCGGAAACCAGACGCTCAGACGGAGGAGAACGGTGCCAGCCCCGGCGTAGAGATCTCATCTGAGGAGGAAAAGGCTTTCTTTCCTGCCCAGGTAGCAGACCTCCACCCATCCTATGGAGCATATTTGAAAAAAATAGTATTAAAACTGAAGGGAAAAAAAGTTCCTTTTGTGAATGTCGTGTGTTCTGCAAACTTAACCGGCACCCTTCATACTGCCGCGAGGCGTCTCCTGAAGCCAATCACTGGGTTTCATTGTGGGGAGGAGAAAGAGATGGCATCTCTCAGCTCTGTGACAGGAGAGACCTGACATCTCATGCTAGCCTTCAAATCCCTTTCTTGAGAATCAAGGCTGTTAACTATCATCTTCTAAGGCTGTTTCTGCTCCTTTTACTCCGGACCAGGTGGATTCTGCTGAGATTCCCATCGAAGCTGCCCGGTATCCAACGAGGAAGAAACCTCCTCCGGTGGCAGAAAGAAAGGAAAGGGAACACCAGGTTGCAAACTACTCAAGGAGAAAACATGGCAAAAGAACAGGCATCCAAGGAAAGAACAGAATGGAATATCTTAGTCGTAACTTCTTAAGTGGAAATACACTACAGGTAAGGCCTTAGACATCTGGAGAACTAACATGTGGGTGGTAGTGTCCCCAAATACATTATTCTCAGAGGAAAAAGCAGAAGCAAACACCCAAGAGAGGCAATAGTCACGGCTTTTTGTGGCTACTACGTGCTTCCACACACAAGTAGTTTGATGAACCTCTGGACTGTCCGATTCAATGGGGCAGATTATGTAATCTGCAATTTATGCTTAGAACTTTAGTACCTGTTTTTACTAGTCCACTTCAACTGCAATTAAAACAAATTAAAAGATAAGTATTGAAGTATTGCCCTGGCTGGTGCGGTTCACGTCATCCTGTACACCAGAAGGTTACCAGTGTCCTCCCAGTCAGGGCACAGGCCTCGGTTTGGGCTCCAGCTCTGATAGGGGGCATGGGTCAGTGCACTCTCTATGTCTCCCTGTCTATCTCCCTGTCCGAGAAAGGAGGGGCGTTTGTCTGAGGCGTCCCTTGAGATAAACTTTAATTATGCGGATAGGTGTTTGGACATTGAGAATAGTTGCCAGCATAAAAGACTATGTTGTGCAGGCAGGACGGGGGCAGGCATCCTCGTGTGACCTTACATCAGTAAAACTATGGCTGCCGGAGGAATTGTGCCGCACGAATAGTTACAGTTGCGATTCACACAGCCATTTATTTTTCTTTTATCGTTGCAGTGGGTACAAAGCTTATTAACACGGGCATACTATTACTCACCAAACTCCTGGTGCCGGGGTACAGGCTCGGAGGGAGCTCCCGGAATGAGGTTTCCTTTGGTGGCAGCAGCGGCGCCTTCTCCGGCTGCTGGTCAGGTCAGGAATGAAGCTTCTGCCTTCAGAGGTCCCTGTGCACAGCTCGAATCCATCTGAGGCCCCACCGTTGGGCCCGGAGTGGAGCTGAGCGAGGCGGGGAAGGGGACTGCCCCCAAACTGAAGGCCATCAGCCAAGATAACGTCCAGTGATCAAAGCCACCAGCGCAGCGCAGCGCAGGGATCAAAGCAATCAGCCTTGACTAGGCGTCCAGCGACCAAGCAATGATCCCTTTGAATGGTGTTTGGGGACCCTTCTAATAGCCTGTGGTACCCACGGCAGTCCAGGGGGGAGTAGGGGATTCTGGCAAACAAAATGCATAACAAGATCTCAAGTTTAACAGTAGTTCCAATGGACATATCAGTAAACAAAACTGTAAGCACTCAGTCACACTCTGGGGAGGGGGAGGAGTATATGTCTTCAGGCCTAGGGTTTCAGGGCAAGTCACTCTAAGTTCAAATCCTCATCAATGGAGTACACACGCTTCAGGACAGTGGGGGATGTGTTCTTAATATCTCTCTTTAAGTTTCAGGATGTTAACTTAAATCTTTTAAAACCTTTTAAACATTTTTTGGCATTTTAAAACATTTCTATATTTTACTACAATACTCCTTCTCCCTCTCTCTCTACAAATCAATTGGGGAAAAAAAAAAAAAAAAAAGAACAAGTATTTATTGAACACCTACTGTGTGCTTGATACTGCCTTTTCTTCATAGGAAAGTGGATTCGAGTTACTATGTAGCACCTAAAAATATGTACATATGAGATTATAAATATGTGTTATGTGATTTTATATTACATTATTATGTTATAACTACAGGCCCAGTGCATGGATTCATGCACCAGTGGGGTCCCTCAGCCTGGACAGCTGAAACTGGCTCTCTGACATCCTCTGAGAGGTCCCGGGGTTGCAAGAGGGTGCAGGCTAGGCTGAGGGATCCCACTGGTGCACGATTGGGGCCGGAGAGGGGCTGCAGGAGGGCTCCAGGGCATGTCTGGCCTGTCTTGCCCAGTTCTGATTGGCAGCAAGCTAATCTACCAGTCAGAGTGTTGTCCCCCTGGTGGTCAGTGCTCATCATAGCGACTGGTCAAACAGTCAAATGGTCAGACACTTAGCATATTAGATTTTTAAAAAAATATATATATATTATTGATTTTTTACAGAGAGGAAGAGAGAGGGATAGAGAGTTAGAAACACCGATGAGAGCTGAGACCGGTTTGGCTCAGTGGATAGAGCGTCGGCCTGCAGACTGAAAGGTCCCGGGTTCGAATCCGGTCAAGGGCATGTGCCTTGGTTGCGGGCACATCCCCAATGGGGGGTGTGCAAGAGGCAGCTGGTCGATGTTTCTAACTCTCTGTCCCTCTCAATTCCTCTCTGTGTAAAATCAATAAAATATATTAAAAAAAAAAAAAAAAAGAAAGAAAGAAAAGAAACATCGATGAGAGAGAAACATTGATCTGCTGCCTCCTGCACACCCCTTGCTGGAGATGTGTCTGCAACCAACGTACACGCCTTGACCAGAATCGAACCCGGGACCCCTCAGTCTGCAGGCTGATGCTCCATCCACTGAGCCAAACCGGCTTCGGCTAGACTTTTATTATCTAGGATAATTTGTATTGCATCAATTATATATTAATGTGATTATTAATTTTATTAAATAATTATAATTTTACAATATAATTGTATGTGATTTTATTTGTTGTATTTATTCTGTAGCAGGTGAACTACACTGAATGGAAATTCTCAGACTTTAACACCTCCGTAGGTGATTATTTAAAGAATCAGAAAAAGGAAGAGAAAATGACATCATTCCCTTCAGCACTGATACAAAATGAAGCTCTCCATTCTGTAATTGGTATTGTCTTTTTAAAATCTGATTTTCCTATTTAATCATTGAATTATTTTATCAAGACAGTTACTTCATCTTCATTGCTACAGTTTTTATGGGAATTTAGTGTGAAGACCCTAGGCCTAGTTATATGTTACATTGGGCTGGTTAAGCCAATTAGGGTTGGATTTCTCAAAGAAAGTAGCTTTCTATGTATTTAAAGCTAGCTATAGCCAGTTTAGTTACATAGCAATTATAAGATGTTAATCACTCCAGGGTCTTATGAATTATGGTTACAAAAAAACAGAAGGAGGAGCATAATTGGCTCATTTGTGATGTGAATCCACATTTTTTGTTGTTGTTAATCCTCACCCAATGATATTTTTTCCATTGCTTTTTTAGAGAGTGAAAGAAATGGAAGGATAGAGGAATGGTGGGAGGGAGAAAGAGAAACATCAATATGAGACACATCAATGTTGCTGCCTTCTGCCTATGCCCCGACCACAGGCTGACACTCTAGCCACTGAGTCAAATCAATTAGTGTTCCAATTTTTTTTTCTATTTTATTCACTAGTTTATTTTGTTTTTAGATTTCTTGTTTGTTTATTTTGATTTTTAGATTCAATTGTTGATAGATATGTATTTGTTGCCATTTGTTGTTCATATATTTTTATTAATTCTCCTTCTTCTTCTTCTTCTTCTTCTTCTTCTTCTTCTTCTTCTTCTTCTTCTTCTTCTCCTCCTCCTCCTCCTCTTCTTCTTCTTCTTCTTCTTCTTCTCTTCTTCTTCTCTTCTTCTCTTCCTTCTCCTTCTCTTCTCCTCCCCTCCTCCTCCTCCTACTCCTCCGCGCCTCCTCCCTCCTCCTCCTCTCCTCCTTCCCTCCTCCTCCTCCCGCCTCTCCTCCTCCTCCTCTCCTCCTCCCCTCCTCTCCTCCTCCCTCCCTCCCTCCTCCCTCCGCCTCCTCCGCCTTCCGCCTCCTCCTACTTCTCTCCTCCTCCTCCTCCTCCCCTCCTTCTCCTCTCCTCTCCTCCTCCTCTCTCCTCCTCTCTCTCCCCTCCTCCCTCTCCTCCTCCGCCTTCCTCTCCTCCCCCCCTCCGCCTCCTCCCTCCTCCCTCTTCTTCTTCGTCTCTTTTCTTCTTCTTCTTTTCTTCGTCTTCTTCGTCTCCTTCTCCTCCTTCTCCTCCTCTCCATCTCCTTCCTCTTTCCTCCTCCTCTTCTTTCCTCCTCATCCTCCTCTGTCGGTATCCTTCCCCTCGTCTGTCTTGTCTGTCCTTCCCTCACCCCTCTTCGTCTCCTTCTCCTCCTCCGTCTTCCCTTCTTTCTTCCGCTTCCTCTTCCGCCTCTCTCATCCTCCCGTCTTTCCTCCGCCTCTCCTTCTGCCTCTTCTCCTCATTCCTCCCCCTCCCTTTTCTCCTCTTCCTCCTCCTCCTCTTCCTCCTCCCCCTCTTCTTCTTCTTCCGCCTCCCTCGTTTTCCCTCCTCCGCCTCCTCCTTCTTCTTCCTCTTCTTCTTCTTCCTTCCTCCTCCTTTTCGCCTCTTCTCTTCTTTTTTTCCTACCTCTTCTTCCTCTTCTTTTCTCTTCTTCCTCTTCTTCCTCCGCTTCCTCCTCCTCTCCTCGTTCCTCTTCCTCTCTTCCCTCTGTCATCCTCCCGTTTTTCCTCCTCCTCTTCGCTCCTTATACTTCCTCTTCTCCTCCTCCTCCTCTGCCTCTTTCCTCGCCCTCCTTTGCTTCCTCCTCCTCTTATCTCCTCTCCTCCGTTCCTCCCCTCTTTTTTCCCTTCCTCCCTCCTCCTACTCCCTTTCCTCCCCCGCCTCTTTCCTCCTCTCCTCTTCCCCTCTATTCCTATCCTCTTCCCTCCTCCCTCCTCCTCTTCTCCTTTCCTCCTCCTTCCTCCCTCCTCCTCTCCTCCTCCCCTCTCTTCCTTCCCTCTTCTCCTCCTCCCTCCTCCTCCTCTTTCTTCCTTTTCCGCCTTTCTTGCTCCTCTATCCTCCATCCTCGCCCTCCTCTTCATTTCTTCTTTCCTCCTCCTCTTCTCTCTTCCTCCTCTTTCCCTTCCTCCTCTTTCATGTTCCGCACCTTTCCCTCCTTCTTCTTACCTTCCTCCTCCTTCCTCTTTCTTTCCTTCCTCTTTCCTCCTCCTCTTCTTTCCTCCTCATCCTCCTCTGTCGGTATCCTTCCCCCCGTCTCTCTTGTTCCTCCTTCCTCCTTCCTCCTCCTCTTCTTCTCGTCTTCTCCTCCTACCCATCTTCTATCTTCCTTCCTCTTCCTCTCCCGCTTTTCCTCCTTCTCCGTTTCTCCTTCCTCTCCTCTCTTCTTCCTCCTCCTCTTCAGCTTCTCCTTTCCTCCTTTCCTCCTCCTCTCTTCCTCCTTACCTCTTCCTCCTCCCTCTTCTTCTCCTCCGCGTCGCTTCCTCCTCCCTCTTCCTTCCTCCTCTCCAACTCTTCCGTCCTCCTCTTCCTCCTCCTCTTCCTTCCCTCCTCTTTCTCTCCTCTTTCCTCCTTTTTCCTCCTTTCCTCCCTCTTTTTTCTTTTTTTTTTTTCCTCCTTCCTTCATTCTTCCTCCTACCTGCTCTCTTCTCGCTCTTCCCTCCTCCTCTTCCTCTTCCTATCCTCCTCTTTTCCTTCTTCCTTCCTCCTCTTTCTTCTTCTTTTCTCCTTCTTCTAGTCCTCCTCCTCTTCTTCTTCCTCTCTCCTCTTCTTCCTCTTCCTCTTCTTTCTCTTCCTTCATTCCTCCTCTTTCTCCTCTTTCTTCTTTCCTCTGCCCCCTCCCTCCTCCTCCTCCTCCGCCTCCTCCGCATCCTCCTCCTCTCCTCCGCCTCCTCCTTCGATGCCTCCATCTCCGCTCTCCCTTCCTCTTCTCCTTTCCACCTCCTCCACCTTCCTCCTCCTCCACTCTCTTCCATCCTTCCCCTCCTCCTTCATCCCTCCTCGCCCTCCTCTTCATTTCTTCTTTCCTCCTCCTCTTCTCTCTTCCTCCTCTTTCCCTTCCTCCTCTTTCATGTTCTTCACCTTTCCTCCTCTCATCTGCTTCCTCTCTTCTCCTCTTGCTCCTACTCTCCCTCCTCGTCCTCTTCTTCTCTCTACCTCCTCCACCTTCCTCCTCACTCTTCCTCCTTCCTCCTCCTCTTCTTCCTTTTTCAGCCTCTCTCGGTCGTCTCTTCGTTCGTTCTCCTCTTCCGCCTCCTCCTCTTCTTCCCGTTTCTTCCGCCTTCTCCTTCCTCTTTCTTCTTGTCTTCTCATTCCTCCCTTCCCTCCTCATCCTCCTCCTTCTTCTTCCTCCTCCTCCCCTCACTCCTCTTCTCCCTCTTCCCTGTCCTCCTCCCTCTTCCTCCTCCCTCTTCCTCCTCCCTTCTCTACTCCTTCCCTCCTCTGCCCCTCCTTCTTCCTTTCCTTCCTACCCCTCCAACTCTTCCTTCCTCCTCTTCCTCCTCCTCTTCCTTCCCTGCTTCGTCATCTGCCCCCTCCTTTTTGCTACTCTTTCCATCTTGTTCCCCCTCCTCTTTCTCCTTCCTCTCCTCCCTCCTCTTCCTACTTTTCCCCGTCCTTTACGTCCTTCCCTCCTTACCTTCTTTCTCCCTTCTTCCTTTCTCTCCTCCTCCTGCACCTCCTCCTCCTCCTCCTCTTTCCTTTCCTTCCCGTCCTCTTTCCCTTCCCCTTTCCTCCCTCTTTTCCTCCTCCCCTCCGCTTCCTCCTGCTCCTCCGCCTCCCTCCTTTCCTCCTCCTCCTCCGCCTCCTCGCTTCCTACGTTTCCTTTCATCTCTATGCCTTCCTCCTCCTCTTCACCTCAGCCCCCCTCTTGCCAGCCCTCCTCCTCCCCCTCGCGCCTCCTCCTCCTCCTCCTCCTCCTCCTCCGTCCTCTCCTCCTCAGCCTCCGCCGCCTCCTCCTCTCCTTCTCCTGCTCTTCTCCCGCCTTCTCCCCCTTCTTGTGTTCTTCTTTTTTAAAAAAATATATTTTATTGATATTTCACAGAGAGGAGGAAGGAAGAGAGATAGAGAGCTAGAAAGGTCGATGAGAGAGAAGCATCGACCAGCTGCCTCCTGCACACCCCCCACCGGGGATGTGCCCGCAACCAATGTACATGCCCTTGACCGGAATCGAACCTGGGACTTTTCAGTCTGCAGACCGACGCTCTACCACTGAGCCAAACCGGCTTCGGCCCTTCTTTGTTTTCTTCTTCTTAAAGAATATCTTCAACATTTCATGTAATACTAGTTTGGTGGTGATGAACTCCTTTAGCTTTTTCTTGTCTGTGAAGCTCTTTATCTGACCTTCAATTCTAAATGATAGCTTTATGGGTAGAGTAATCTTGGTTGTAGTGCTATTCATCACTTTGAATAATTCTTGCCACTCCTTTCTGGCCTGCATAGTTTCTGTTGAGAAATCAGCTGACATTTATATGGGTGCTCCCTTGTAGGTAATTAACTGTTTTCTCTTGCTGCCTTTAGATTCTCTCTTTGCCTTTAACTTTTGGCATCCTATCTAATAAAAGAGTAATATGCTGATATCTAATTTATCTAATAAAAGACTAATAATTGACTGTCACTTCTACACACAAGATGGCCGTCCCCATGAGGTCAAAGATAGCCACCTCCATGTAGACACAAGATGGCCACCACAAGATGGCTGGCAGGAGAGGGAAGTTGTGGACAATCAGGCCAGCAGGGGAGGGCAGTTGGGAGGGACCATGCCTGCAAAGGAGGGCAGTTGGAGGTGGTCAGGCCTGCAGGGGATGGCAGTTGAGAGTGGGGGGGGGGGGGAGACCAGGCCTGCATGGGAGGGCATTTAGGAGGTACCAGGCCTGCATGGGAGGGCAGTTAGCAGGGTCCAGGCCTGCAAAGGAGGGCAGTTGGGGGTGATCAGGCCTGCAGGGAAGGACAGTTGGGGGGGACCTAGGCCTGCAGGGGAAGGCACTTGGGCGGGGGGAGGGGGGGATGACCAGGCTGCATGGGAGGGCAGTTAGGGGGGACCAGGCCTGCAGAGGAATGCAGTTAGAGGCAACCAGGCTGGCAGGGGAGTCGTTAGGGGGT